TACAGTGTTTCATCCCTGAATCTCCCAACAGGCATCACGTAGGCAGCTTTGCTTTGGGAATTTAGGAGATTGTGCTTGTTGATGCTGCTGCTGAGAGAAATGTGTATTATAAAAAATGAAAACTCAGAGAAGCATGATTTGTTGATGGTGTTCAGTATTAAAGAGGTGGTGTGTGTGTGTGTATGTATGTATATATATATACACACATATATGCCATGTTAATGGAATTGTTAGGATAATCCCCATTATTAAACTATGATTTTGATGTAAAATCCCCTGTAGACAGTCAGAGAATGTCAGAATAGCTTAAATTTCTACACTGCCTTTTTTTTTTCTTCTCCCCTTTCTTACTTATCTGCATGATGCCACTTAGGATATGGATGCCTCTATGTGTTATCAAACAATTTCACTGTTAGGAAGTAGTAATCAATCACACTATCCCTCAAGGTTTATCCTCACTTACAGAGTATTAGGGATTACTGTTTATACTTTGTATAATCTCCTACCTTCATCTAACTATGCTATCTTGTTGAAGTGTTACATTTTGTAGACTGAAATACATTGGAATCCTACATGACTGGAGGATGACATTCCCTTTTAACAAAGTTCCTAATGTAACATAAATGTGCATTGACTCTTTGACACATATTAACTCTTTGATGGAAGTATTACTATTAATTAGGACATAGTAATTAATGCTTATTCAAAATAGGTGACAAATACCTTAAAGTATATTTTCTTAAAAGCCTTAATCCTTCAATTGTCAAAACTGATTCTTCTTCTGCAACAGCCTAGCAAATGATGTAAGACCCAAAGCAATTAGCATGTTAAAAACAACAACAATGATCCACTGATTGGAGAAGAAAAGTAAATGCAAGGAAGGGAAGAAAGATTTGTATAAACTGCGATTACACACTGGTAGGACTGTAGAGGGGGAAATTAATTTTAAAACCCATTGGTTTAATTCAATTAGATGAGAATCAGAAGCCAGGTCCCCAGCTGGTGTAAATTGGTGTTGCTCCATTGAAGTCAATAGAGCTATGTTGATTTACACCAGCTGAGAATCTGACAACTTATATTTAAAAGCATTTGAACACTTGTTTCCCCCTTCAGAGCCATATATGCAACTATCTGGTTAAATTGACAAGGGCTTTGGTACTAAGTCACTGAAATGGATGAGAAAGCTGGTCAGTCTCTGGTGGCCAATTATATGGTATCTGGGATATCAGGACCTTTCTGAATGTATTTGTTTTTCTTAGAGTACTCATTTAGGGCCTGATCCAAAACAGAAATCCACTGGAGTGTTTTCTACTGCCTTCGTTGGGCTTTGGATCGAGCCTGATCCTACAGTCTCAGTGCACTCAAAACTCTCATTGATAGAGAAAGATAATTGAGTGCACAAGGAGGGCAGGATTGGACTCCGTTACACTGAGCCTCTATTGAATTTCTAGTCACAGAACTTCTTGCTTCTTTATACAGATTTACCATACTCATTTCCCAGTGCTGCTGCTAGCAGTTAGCCTCTACTGATTTTTGAGATGCAAGAAATCAATGACAGACTGACATTGTGTGAAATATTGATTTTCTGCATTGTCTTTAAACACATCAATCCACATAACAGTTTTGTAAAGTACAGTTTAAAATGAGAAACCTCCAAACCAGAATGATCTGCAGACTATTTAATACAAATCACGTGCATTTTGGTGTATGGGGTGGTATGCTGTATACAAACACCTTGTTTATAATTCCTCTCCTAGAATGTTTGCATCCCAAACATTCTATGTAAATCACTCACAGCTGCTTGAATGGGTTCTCCTTTATGTATAACAAGAGACAATTTGGCTGATCATACAAATGGGTCAGAATTACATTCTCTTATGCAGATTTAGTTTGGGGTTTGATTAAACTTTGTCTCTATTTCCAAATCAGAGCCCTGGAAGTGAACATGCTTGAACTCAGAGGAAAGTTTATATTTGGATGAAGATCTGAAATCTGCAGCTAGGGCTGCCCAATCACTAATCTTTGCTGATGGAAATGTTCTATTTTGTCTAATTAGGCTGTTTGTTCTACAGGCAAAAACCCTAGAGACTGCAGTGCCCTTTTTAAAGTTTGTTCTAAGAGGAATACCAGTTCATGCACATTCAGTTTCTACTTTGCACACAATGAGAAAAGGCACATGTACCTAACAATGTTGGAAATCTTGTTTTAAAATGATTTTTATCCCTGATTTCCTCAAGGCCAAAATACACTGCATTCCCATGCTTTTCCTCCTTTAGAAAGAGTAAATTTCTTCTGCAACATATTTCAGCCTTCACAGGGAGACACACAGCTCATAAACACTTATATTTTTTTTAGAGTGACCAAACCCTGATAAATTATTTTGATCCTAACGCTTTATGGAGAAGGACAACCCTCTGATTTATTCCAGGCACAAAAGGATCAAGCAATCATTTCAGTCACTCAAAAATCCTAATCATGGTGTCTGAAATGCATAACCTGCAATGTACATTCACCTAATTTATTGCACAATGTATGTATTGCAATGTAGCCATAAAGCTGGCTGATTGATAATGCCTCTTTATCAGTGTTGCAAGTGGAATCCATTTCTTACTGGTATGGGGGGAGGGGTACCACGGGGGGCACGTGACCTCCTCATGTGACTCCTCCCTCCACCCACCCCCAGTCTGGGGCCCCCATCCCCTCCCCATGATCCAACCCTCTTACCGCAGGAGAAGCAGATGGTGGGGCCGCCCAGTGGCCCCATGCCCACAGCTCCGCCGATGCGGCTGTACTGCCCCAGTCCTTCCATGCAGGGTCTCATCCGTTTGTTCAGCAGCCAGCCCTGCTGGAGGACAGGACTGGGGTTGGCGGCGGTACAGCAGCTGCTCCGGAGGAGGTGCTGGCATGGGGCCGCCCTGTGGCCCCATGTTCTGCTCCTTTTCCCACTGCGGTTCCCAGGAGAGCCTGGCAATTCAGGGCTCTCCCAGGAACTGCAGCGGGAAAAGGAGCAGAATGATGGCAGCTCATCCGGCGGCTGTACTGCCTCCAGCCTCACCCCCCACAGCCCTGTCCTCCAGCATAGCTGCTACTGGGAGCCGGAGGGGACACAGTTCCACGGAAGGGCAGGGGGCAGAGGTGGGGGCTTTGCTCCTTTCCCCGCTGCGGTTCCCGGGAGAGCCCTGAACCGCAGGGCTCTCCTAGGAACCACAGCAGGGAAAGGAGCAGAATGTGGGGCCACCGGGTAGCCCCACACCAGCAGCTCCTCTGGCGCAGCTGTACCGCCCCCAGGCCGCCTCCAGCCCTGACCTCCGGCGGGGCTGCTCTACGGACCGAGGAGACCCTGCGTGGAAGGGCTGGGGGCAGTACAGCTGCACCGGAAGTGCTGCAGGCGTGGGCCACTGCACGTTCTGCTCCTCTGTCCGGTACACTGTACCAACTATAAATATCTTGCTAGTACAGTGTACCGGATCGGGCCACCCTACTTGCACTGCTGCTCTTTATTCTAATATTGGGAGAAGTATTTGTACAATAGTGCTTTCTCGTAGAATTCTGTTAAATGAAGCTCTTGAGTATCTTATGTCTGGACAAAAGATTGTGTTTAAAGTGATATTGAATTAGTGTGAATGTAAATACCCCGACTCTTAAATATTTCTACCTCTAATAGCTACTATAACTGTTTAAAGCATCATGGCTCCAATTTTCAAAAAGATCCAACTAAGTCCTATTTTTCAAGATGAGTTAAATCTCATTGACATCCAGTGAAACTTTGGCTCCTAAGCCAGTCACTTTTGAAAATGAGGCATAGGCTCCTATTTTACTTAGGCTCTTTTGAAAAATTCCCCAGTTCTTTCATAAAAGCCCCAAAGCTGTTCTTATTGAAGTTAACTGTAAAAAGCACATTCATAGATCCATTGGGGCCAAATTCTCTGCTGGCATACCTCCAGTGAAGTCAAAGGAGTTAGGCTAGTGGAATAGTTGACCCATCTATTTTGGCTATGTCTACACTATGAGCTAGGGGTCTGATTCCCCTGCTTGTGTACACATACTCACACTAGCCCTCATTGAGCTCGCAAGAGTATTTAGTGTAGCTACAGTAGCATAGGTAGTAGCAGCGGAGGCTGGGTATGTACTCGGCACGGCTAAGTCATGCCTACGCTGCCACTACTGCTACCTGTACTACCATGGCTACACTGCTCTTAATACGCCCACTAGCTCAATGAGCAGGGGAGCCACACCCCTAGCTTGTAGTGTAAACCTAGCCTTAAAGGTTCATCTAGCATGATCTCCTTCATCATGAAGTCCATAGAATTTCACCCTGTAATTCCAGCAGGAGAATCAATTATTCTTCCCTACTAAGTACATGAACGCTATCAAGTCCAATAACTTGTGCACGAACTAAAGCCTATCTTTTAGGAAGATATCTGGACTTGATGATGAATTAGCTGCTTCCCTTGGTAAAGTGTTCCAATGGTTTTAACTCTCACCGTTAAACATTGACTTCCCTGGTGCATGATCAAGCCCCTCAGAGCTGAATATACTCTTCTTGTTATACCATGGTCATCAAAATCCTCTTGCAAATGACTTTGAACAGCTCCTGCTGAATAGCATCCCTATGGGGAGAAAAGACTGCATTGGAGGTCATAACCACTGCACAATGATGGTATTGCAAAGGAAACCCATTTAAATAGGGCAGGAAAACAAAAGGGGTTTGGCTGTTGATCCTGAGGATACCTCATGGGTGTTAGGCTGCAAAGAAGATTTGGCTCTACTGCCGTCTAATTGATGTTACTCTAATCAGTGAACCAAACTTATACTCTGTTTCCCAACTGAAACTGTGCAATTTAGAAATCAATAGTGTGATCTACAGCACAGGGCTAAAAGGTTTCTGCAGGTTTATAAAAAAAAAACCCACAATACCACTGACCTCTTCTCCTGGCTCATTTCATCCTCAAGACATCCCTGCAAACTTTAGAGTGCACAACAGACCATAAAGAGTTGTACTAACATTATAGAACCACTCAATCCTTATTCCTTTGTGTCTATTTGAGACAGGGACCGCTCATGGGAACTGGAGAATTCAGCATCCACATAAATCAGAATGCAAGTGGATAGCAAAGAAAGTTGTTAATGTATTTCACATGAGGAATTTAAACATTCATGTTCAAAGCATGAAGGCCCCAGTTCTTCAGTCTCTAAGTAGCCAAAAGTAGCAGTCACTTTAGTCTTAGCGTTGCCCATGTGATCAGTGTTGGTTATAGCTTTCCATACTGCAGGTGAAACAAGTCTTTTTGAGAAATGTGCTGGTCTACTCTCAGCTTTTGTAGGGCTTTAACTATAGCAGCTTGACCCCCTAGTATAGACACAGTTATACTGGTGTAAAAGTGCTTAGGTCGATATAACACCCAATTTTTTTCTGAGTGAGCAAACTGAAATATCTCTCTGATTGATTCTGAAAGCTGTGCCTTTAACTTTGGCATTTCAAAGTATAAGAAATAATGTACGACTGGGCCTTTCCCCTGTGTAGCTGGTGATTTGTGAGGTAAAACAGAGTGAGTGTTCCAAAATCACTGCAAATTTGCCATTATTAAAGGGAGAACGTTAACAAGGTCATTGTAGATTTAAAGGCTGTGTCTTTAGTATGTTACTGCCTGCAGAGATTGAAAGTGTACCTTTACTTTTCGTTTAATGCAAAGCCTGAATGCATCTGAACCTCTTCTAAATAGATGTCCTGTGATTTACATATTTGTGAACTATTGTCTCTTCTTTTCTTGTATCCACTTGGAGAAAGCTTTATGAGAGCCTAGATGAACATTATTTTTTCCTGCTACAGAGGTCTGTGCAATAGATTCTTTAGGACACAATTTTAACAGTTTTCATAATTCTTTTAATCTCTAAAACCAAGAGCGGGCCAGATCCTTAACTGGGGTATGTGGCATAGCTCCATGTACATCATTGGAGCCATGCCTGTTTACATCAACTGAGGATATGGCCCAGTGTATTTTAAATATTAGCACTCATGCGTTATGCTATCTATTGCTGTGTTTATTAACTGCTGATTTGGGGGATAAACTGCATGCAATTTCACAGAACCGCAGAGTCTGAATAATGTTCATTATTGTTTTTATGCAGTAGTGAAAGGGATGCAGTTTACTTACATATGGAAAATCAGTTACTAGCATTTTAATAGAATACTTTATAAACATTTGGCAAAATGGAAAGAATGAGCCTGATCCTTCTGCCAGCGAAATCACTGGCAAAATTTGCACTGGCTGTGAGGGGAGCAGGATTGGGTTCAGTGTAACTAATGTGCTCCAGTATTATTGATATTGAATGAACGTGTTTTTATATTGAATGCTTTTTGCTGGACCGTGCATTGCGCTTTTATGATTTAGTGCTATACACAAATAAATTATTTGAAAATTCAGTCTTTTCATGCCTGTCTTTTGAACTTCTACTGGAATAATTTTACTGTAGGGCCTTATTCTCAGCTAGTGAGCTCCAAGAGTCAAAAGAGAGATCCTAGTTTATAGTAGCTGAGATTCTGGCCTGCAGTGTTTGCAGCCTATCTGTGTAATCTGCCTGTCTGATAAGGACAACATGATCCTTGCTAGCAGTACATGTTTTAGATTCCTATTGCTAATATTGTACTCATTCTGTATGTGTCATTTCCACTGTCTGGCTCCCTGTCCTCATTGCGAAGCTTCAGTATTACTGCTGGTGACTCCTGTTAGCCTTCCTGACCTATGAGAGTATTTTCATTCCCCCCTACAAACTGTTGGAAGCCTTTGCAAACTGCATTACCTGATCTTTCACCGGGACCCATTTCAGCTGAGAAAAACTTGCATCCCAGTCATATAGCTGAGGTAGAAATGCCACGTCCAGTGGTGGGGGGCTATCATTAAAAAACAGCAGCATCCAGGATTCAGTCCACCAACCGTGGGTCCTTTCAGTTCCAATCCAGTCATGGGTGCCCTGTAAGTGTAGCTGATGAGGAAAGGATGCTGTGATTTCTATATACCATGGAGGACCAACCACTTACTAAGTATCATAGTGGTATCACCTTCCTGCTTGAGGCAGGCCCAGAATCTGAACCACGACAAGTTGATTTTCTCTTTGCGGCATAAATAAAGTAAATAAATGGGTATGCTGCCCTGCATGGTGTGTTCAATGGTTGCTGAGAGCCAGGGCTATTCTGGGATAGTGAATTAGTAAGGAACTAGTCCATTTAAAGAATGCTTGTTATTTACCTCAGAGGTTCCTCAACTGTTATTCACAGAACACTTGATAATTCTTCTGAGAGAGCTGTCCTCTCGCATGGTGCTGGCATCTCTTTCCAAGTGCTAACATGGCATTAAATGACAACTAAAATGACTGTAATGGGCTGCCTGTCTCCCATTAGCTGGGCTGCAAGTGGGTGTGGTTTGAAAGAGAAAGCTGAGAGAACAGGATTAAAACTAAATGTTTGTTTGGTGGGTGGGGTTGCCTGTTACCAGCTCTACAGGGGGTAGACATTGCTGTGTTACGGCTTGTGATGCATCAAAAGTTTGTTGGATTTTTAGACTATGTGGTCTCATCTCATTCCTTCAGATACTCCCGAGGTCACAATCCATAGGTGTTCTCCTAGTATTATGTTTCCAGGTAAGCAACTGCTATAGTAGTGACATAAGGGATATGCACTCATCAAGGGGAGATGAGACAGTTCATACAGTTGCAGACAGAAAGCCTGCTACCCAATCTGTCTACTAACGTGGTCCTAACTATGAAAAATATTGGGAACCCCTGATTTATCTCGCGAACCATATTGGTCTATTGGTTACATTGCTGACTTCATGCAATCTCAGCAAGTTCTCACAAGGAATTAAATTAATATGAAAAGTTTTGACAATTTCTAATAAATCACGTATTTTGTTACAATCCTCAAGAAGAATACAACCCATCATGACCTTTGTCCTGTGACTGCCTGGCACCTTTTTGCTTTTCTGATTTTATGTCCTGTTACTCTTCACCTTTTGACACCAATCCATCTAACATTAACAACGAAGATTCCAGTCCAGTTAACAATGGTGCAAGTACATCTGGTGATGAATAAAGAATAGTAAGAGAATAAACAAGTGAGTCAGACAATGTGTGTGTGTGAGAGAATGTCTGAGGGAATGAATGGATTGGGCATCAGCTTATGTGTGAGGAGAAAATAGAAGGGATAACAGCAGAGGGGAAGTATGGTCTAGTGGTTAACCAAGAGATTTGGGTGCCCAAGTTAATGACCTGTCTAACTTTCAGAGGTTCAAATATTCCAGGAGATTTGTGGTCAGGAGATTTGGGAGCAAGGAGTTGTGGGATCAGAGATTCCTGGCTCTGTTACTGACTTGCTGTCTTAACTTGGGCAGGTCATTAGGTTTATCTGAGACTTCTGCTGTAAAATGAGGATAATACCACTTCCCTCACAGGAAGTGGATTAGGTTTAAATAATTTCAAAGGCCTAAAATACATACTGAATACAATTTGTTTGAGACTGAGATAATCTGTTATGTATAACTGACCTCAAACATTTTTAGACCAGTTTTAAAGGCGGTTTCCTTCTTGTAAATAGCATGCTATTAAATGTGGATTTCATCCCTGCTTCTTGTCTTTTCCAATCCTTATTCTGGAGTTGCCATTTTATCTTCTTAACATTTGTTTAAAGTGTAAAGCATTACATTAGCATATCAGGGTGGTACAAGCTAGCACGTCCCCTCCCAGACCATTGAAGTTGCTGTATGTATTTCCTGCAGTACTACGCCATGGCTCTTGCTGAACAAACTGCCCTTTCAAAACAAGCTCCCTGTTTTCAGTGTGCCTCTTCCAGAAATTACAATTCAGCTCCAGAAAAGGTGAGCTAAACAGGGATCAGTCACATCTGTGTAGACAGAGGGAGGGGTTGAAGGTTAGTGCTCATCTCACTAATATACCATTTCCTAACCTTTCTCAAGAAATGTTTTAATGAGTCACTCACATAAAAGTTATAAATCTCTCACCTTATTACTTAAAAAAAGGAAACGGGGAGCAAGGCGATGGTACAACTTACTCCCATTAGACTGAACCACACAATTGGTTTGTGTAAAAAGTCACAGGGATGAATACACCTATGTGAACATCCTTTGACCCCCAAATTGGCAGCTTGTCTGATGCAATTGCCCATGGGCCTGTCACAGCCTATGGTGAGCATCAGATTAGCTGCTGAAGTCCCCTCTTTCTGCTTTTGAGGCTCAATACCGTAGTTGGTTTCATCCATTTTCAATTGAGACGAGGCATACATTCCTTAGGAGAAAAGATTGCTTCTCCCTGTTCCTATTTAATTCTTTGCCTACTTTAAGTTGCCTGGAAGATGATGTGCTGTTGCCCCTCAATACCATATGGAATATTCTTTATCCGTCAACAATAATATGCACAGTGTTTTGTTGGTTGTCATGACAGGGGACTTTGGGATCTTGCAAGCATTGTCTTCCATCTTCTTCACAGGGTTTTTTCTGCTGTTGCAGATTCTCAGGTAGTCTTTATCTTTCTGAATACAGTAGGGCACTTGTCAAAATATTTTCTTTTAATTTTACTTGAAAAGAAGGCCAGGCAAAAAAGGATGTTGCTATTTATGCCTATGGAGAAAATAAAGTCCAGGAAGCTAGTGCTCATAGGCCAGATTAATTTGTTGGCCCTCTCTGAGACACACTTGGATAGACACATTGGGGTCCACTTTGACACATACAAGAGGCATTCAGCATTTATTGCACTATCATTGTTAAAATGATCCCCTTCAGAAATATCTTTACTGTAGGATATTAATGGGGGGGCCTCCCAAAACAATGGAGCTTTATCCTTGCTACCTTCATAAACACTCAACTGTAGCATTATGCAAAGCCTTAAACTATAGTTGAGCATGCATGGAATGAATACATGGCCCCCTGACTGAATACAAGCTATAAGTAAATTGAAAAAGTTTGTTGATGTCACAAACCATGTAAACTTGGCTCATGAGGTTTACGGACTGAATCAAACTCATAGGATTAAACTACTGACTTGATAATTAACCTGGGATTCAATTCTGTTATGTGTGATATTAAGCAAATAACCATAGCCTGTTTAAATGAGTTTCCATTCTCTCTTCCATGCCTGGGAGCCCGGTGAAACGTTTCCAAGAGCTATCTTTTGCCCACATAGGAGAAAGCTTGAGGGGAAATGAGAACACCATCTGCCAAGGTTTTACTCCCAATCATTTCACATATGTGTAAAATACAGCATTGCAGAGCCCTCAAACACAAGAAGTAATACTTGCACACATTGCAGTAGCAAAACCAGAGTGGAATGATGGTCTTGTGATTAAGCTACTGACCTGAGACTTGATTGACCTGGGTTTAGTTCCTGGTATTATCTACCTATGTGACCTTGATTGAATCAATTAATCTCTGTGTTTCTGTCCCTTTGCTTTTTCTTGTTTCTTCAGTTTATAAGCTCTCTGAGGCAGGGACTATCTCTTATCAGATATTTATGTATTGCCTAGGACAATGGAGCTCTGATTTTGGTTGCAACCTCTAGGTGTTAGTGTAATATATACAATAATAATAAAAGAAATGGAAAACAAGTGGCTACAGGAAAAGGTAAATGTACAACAGGGTCAGCTCTATTAGTCTTCAAAGGGAAGGCTGGCGCATTCTCTGGTGTTTGGTTTGAGTGGGCTGTGAGCCTTGTGCTGCAATATACGTTTAGATGTTATCTGCTAAGATCTTTGTCTTGGCCATGCACAATTCCACACGTGTGACACTGTTATTGCCTCATAAACCAAGTCCAGCATTTCAAAGCAACGCGTCTTATCTGAAGAAAGAAGATAACGAGCTGGGATTGAAATTCTTCCAAGACTTGGAAATTCTGCTTCACGCTGCTGTAGTACAGACTCACAGCCAGGATCAGCACTAAACAAAGCGAAATCCACAGGAGCAAAGGCAATCCAGCTGATGGCCTGTCATGTGCTGGGAGAGGTTGGGGAGAGAAAAGAAACAAGCATTATTTTAGTGTTGTCTGAAACAGCTCCCAAATTTGACCCCCACTGCTGCCTTTGTCCTGGTTTTCTGGAAACAGCAGGTTAGGCAGAGCTCTGGTTGTGAGTGCTTCTATATGCATCAGTTAAATGGCAGCGAGTCACACCTCCCTACAGAGGCTACTGAATATAAAAGATGTAATCTAATGGAGCATTTCAAGGGTTTAATTATATACAATAAGAACAGGATTACCATAGTTAATGCATGTTCTCAAATTTCCTCACAGCAATTATTTTTTATACATTTAAGCAAAACACTAGGTTAAATTCTAGAGAATATTAAGCAACCACGACTAATTATTTAATGCTCACAAATGTTCCATAAAGAGAGAGGAACTAGATGACTTGCCTTTTCCCTGTAACATTAACTTGTTACAGGTCCTGCTAATTAAAATAAGAAGGAGATGTGGATGTGTCAACTGAACAGCACATTTACAATGCTTTCACAGGGCCAGTCTGCCTCTCAATGTTAAACTTGCTAATCACACTGGAATGTCCACTGTGCTTAATCATAAAAAGGAGTATATTGTAAACATTTCTTCTTGCTTGTAAAAATAATCTGAGGAATTTCAGATCACTGTGGGTCAGGTATACTACGAAATCATTGGGCTACATTTTACAGCTTGGGTGCCATTCTGCTGTCTATTAGAGCCGGGCTATTCCATTGCAATGCTCTCAAAGGGTTGGGTCAGGAATAACAGGGGCAAATAGAGATTTAGATATGAGAATGCACCTTTAGTGAATCTTTCTGTTACCTCATCATGATGCGAGAAGTTAGCCAGTTTTCAGGGTCCTGCCAATTGTTTCCACTAAGAGGAGAAATTGATATGGAGCCAGATATTTCTTTGGGGCAATCCTGTTTATTTAAGAATATACAAAGTCCAGTTTCCCTGAACACAGCAGGAGATAATTTCTTTGCTCATAGTTCTAAGCCTCTTTTCTACAGCACTCTGCCCAAAAAGCTCTCTTACCCCTTTTTCAGGGCCACATCCCTAGTGCTTTTTCTGCTGTCCCCTTGGGTTTCTTCTCCTTCTCCATGTCTGGTATGTGGTGTTTCTCTCTTACACAGGCCCCAGCACCTGCATTTGCTAGATCAGTCCCCAGGCAAACTCATTGGTTCACATAGTTAAACTTCTACTCAAGCCTTGCCATGTGCCTGTGTTCTGGGTGATTCTGTTGTTTCTGGTTCCGTAAAGGAGCTCATTTGTTTTTTACACTTATCCTGAGTGACAAGCGCTTGGTACACCCACCAGTTTAACCTCACCCATAACTTTTCCATGGTATATCCTATCACTACCATGATGACAGCCCAGGGACTAATGGGGGCATAACCCCCTTATGTCCAACCAGTTGGGGGCCATTGGGCATAATCTCCTTCCTTCCAACCAATTGGGGGCTAATAAGGGAGAGGTGGCATTACAACATCCCTATCCCACTGGAAGATACACTCAGATAGGAGGAGCAACAGAGGGTCCTGTGGCACCTTTAAGACTAACAGAAGTATTGGGAGCATAAGTTTTCGTGGGTAAGAACCTCACTTCTTCAGATGCAGATAGGAGGAATTCTCCACTGGTCAGTTAAGCTGGCACTACAGCAACTTTGCGCCACTAGTCTAAGGGCGAGGATCTGGCATCAAGTGTCTAGGGTTCCCAGACTTCTGAGGACAGGTGCTTCTCATTGCTTAAGAGACCTGTGCAATAGGTTTGTACTGTGCTCCTGTGCCTTATCCCAACTGGAGGAATAGGCTGCCATAAAAAAGATGGAGAAAAGTTGTTCTCTCTTACCACAGAGGGCAGGACAAGAGGCAATGGGTTCAAACTACAGCATAGCAGATTTAGGTTAAATCTCAGGAAAAACTGCCCAATTGTAAGAAGAGTAGGACAATGGAACAAGCTAGCTAGAGGAGAAGAAGCTTCTTCATTGGAGGCTTTCAAAAGGAGGCTGGATAACCATCTGTCTGGGATGGTTTAGACACAACGAATCCTGCATTTTGGCATTACGACCCTTGCAGTCCTTTCTAACCATATGGCTCTATGATTCTAGAGAGCAGCACAACAAAGTGGGAAGGAATTGTACATGCTCCCTGCTGCAGCATGGGTCAGTGCAGTGTATGCAGGTCATGCTGTGTAGGGGGGAAGGTTATCAGCAGTAAAAGGAAACTGGGAACACAGACACGGACAGTGATTAAAGTAGATCAAAACAAGAGGGGGATCTGGCCAGTTCTGTTGGGTGGCGTCACAGGTGTTGACATTAGGTGCAAGATCCTCAGCTGTTGTAATTTGGTGCAGCTACCTTGAATGCAAGGATTGTTACTATTCTATGTGTCGGCATTTCTGTGGTGGGCATCTGAGTAAACTCTGCCTGCCTGACAAGCTGAGACTTGCAACGCCCCAGTGGATCAGAGAAGGGCCAGCCTCATGATACAGGCAAAGAAACAGGCACACCAGGATTAGAGCTAGACTCTAACTATAGAGTCTCCTTTGAGTAAGGGGCAATGCATAGGGTACTTCCCGGCTCCTCCCCACTTCTCTGGGGTAGGAGTAAGTTACTTCACACCCTCTCCTGGAACAGCTCATTACTCCCTGTGTGCCTGGTCATCTACTGTGGATGGCAGGTTGTGGGGGCTGTCTTGCTACTTCCCATCAATTTCCCTGACTCCCCTGATCATTTGCCAACGACAGGGAGTATGGGGGTCTCCTCATTGCAGCTGGAGTGATAGTCTGAGCAACGGAGTAAGCCAGAGGGCACGCTATTCCTATCTTGTTCTCTGCACTGAAGTAACAAAAGCTTACATGTAGCAACTAAATTAGGTTTATTTAAAGATTACAGCACTCTAATGACAGAAATCAGGGCCTGATGTCCACTGCAGCCTGCCGCTCACCTGGTTGTATTCCTGCAGCCCAGAGCCCCATCCTTCACTATCGAAGGTGACCCCTTTCGGCCTCTGCAGCCACACGCCATATCCTACCACAACAGCAGCTGCACCAGACTCCCTCTCCTTTCCTTGCCCAGCCGAATAAGGGTTGGGGTAATCTAGTCACACAGGAAGCCTGTGATATATCTCCACTCTCTTAATTCCCAGGCTTGTGTTTAGCCACATACCATCCTTCTTTTACCCCTAAACAGCATGTGTGAGCTATTTCTGAGAGTGTAATGGCTGCTCTGTTGGTCTGCATGGTCATTGCACAGTCAGTATTATTTTATAAAGCACTCTGAGTATTAAATGTGCTCTCAAACCAAATTCATGCCTGAATAAAAAGCGAGAGTGTGCAACTATTTGCCTGGCATATGCACATAATCAATAAGAAGATAAAAATGTGGTGTGTATTGTTATGGGTAAAGGACTGACATTAGCTGTAGCGTATTTAAATTAGCTTCTATTACCAACCCTGGAATACATAGCAGTCAATTAAGCTGTCATACAGATGTACATAAAGGAAGGTAAAAGTCATAAAATCAAGCAACAAGCACATAATAATGTATCAAAAAGTGTGTGGGGAGAAGGTAGAATGTTAATAGCAATCATTTGAAAGCTCACCAGAAGCCAAATCGATGCTCTATAATAGAGTTGGGTGAATTATTTGCAGCAAATAATTTCTTCATTTGAATGTAGCCCTTCTTTCTGCTTGTAGATTATCTGTGAATAGGCTTCGATTTTTATAAATTTGTCTGTTATTTGGAATTATTCTACAAAAGGTTTATGTGAACATATTTTAGCCTGTGGATTGCTCACCAGCTCTTTCCAGTGAAACTATGTGCTGTTCGATATTTCCAATGTGTGATTTGTCTCTCGAATCACCTGATATTGTTCCTCGTTCTTAACTGGGTGACAGACTTCAATAAAAAGGTCACAGTTAGTCTTATAGTAGTGAAAATGATTTGGGAACTGATTGTGTGAATTGAGAATCACATTTTGATTCAGGCCTTTTTATTCCCTCTCCTCTGACGTTCTTGCAGAGGGTTTATAAATCACACAAATGTTACTCTCTGCCTGGTTTACAAGGGATTCACACTTCAGATATAAATGTAGATATTTGTTAGTCCCCAGTCATGGGGGAAATGCTCACTCCCTGCTTATAAAGTTTCAATGAGGGAACAGAAAAAATTACATGTGAGGATATGTCTGTACTTTGAGCTGGGGGAGTAATTCCCTGCTCAAGGAGGCATACCCATGTGCTTGAACTAGTGTGCTAAAGATAAAGCGTTGCGACAAGGACATGTGAAGTGGGAAGGGCTACGCCCCGAGATGCTAGGCATGTACTCAGGTCAGCTAGCCTTTCCTCCTGTTCACTCTATTTGTAGCATGCTAGCTCAATTAGAGCTAGCGCTGGTATGTTTTCTGTAGCTGGGAATAAACACCACCAGCTTGAAGTAGAGCCAGACCCTGAGCTCAACAATCAGATCCTATGAATAATGAACAGTGCACAGGTATAGTGGAAGTGAATTCTGATAATTGAAAACAACCTTCAGGCTTAACTATGGTTGTTGTACAATTGCAAATAAATTCTTTAAAAAAAATCAGTCTGCTCATGTCTAATTTGGAAACAGAAAAAAGGGCTAAATTCTTGAACTGGTTGGTGAAATTTCAAAGGAATTGTTTTTCCTCAGAATATGTAGTTCAGTTTCAATCAAAAAGCTTGGTGAAAATGGGTACATTTTTCCAGAATTTTGTTGTTAAAAATGAAAAAAAGAAAGTTCTTTTTGGAATGAAATGTTTCAATTTTTTGTTTTGAAATTAAATTCTCATTTCAAAACATTTTATGTTGTATTATTATCATCTAGTGTAGTACAAGAGAAAAAGAATTTTAAAGTGGAATTTGACAACTAGACATTCTGAGTTTGTTAAAACACAACATTTCGAACAATTCAAAATGATATTTTTTCTGAAATTTTCCATCATGGAGAATTATGTAATTTTCAGTTTTCACTGCCATTTGTAACCAAACCAGATTTCAAAATTGAAAAATCCTTTGTGAAATGGAACTTCCATCCTCCACACAGCTCCATTAAACCCATCAGCTGAACTGTTTGTTACAAATAGCATACTCAGCTCCAGGGCCTTTAATAATAAAGAGGCAGTTGGTCTGTGACAGAGGTACAAGACTGGCTCACAAGAGCTCAGGGTTCGATTCCTGGCTTTGACACAGATGTTCTGCGTGACTGGGGGCAAATCACTCCTAACCAGCTCAGCTGATTTAGACCAGCTGAGGATCTGATGCAGCATGTCTGAGTCTCAGGTCCTCATCTGTAAAATGGGGATAATAATACTTCCTTTCTTCTCCCTTTTTTCTAACTTATCTATTTAGACCGTGGGCTCTTCAGAACAGGAAGATCTCTAACTATGTATGTGTACAGCACCTGGCACAATGGGTCCCAGTTAGGGTTGCCAACTTTCTAATTTCACAAAACTGAACATCCTTGCCCTGCCCCCTTCCCAACCCCCTGCCCCCTCCCTTCTCTGAGGCCCCGCTCCTACTCGCTCCATCCCCCCTCCTTCTGTTGGTGGCTCTCCCCCACCCTCACTCGCTCATTTTCACCAGACTGGGACAGGGGTCTTGGGCTGCAGAAGGGGGTGTGGGCTCCGGGGTGGGGCCAGAAATGAGGGGTTCAGAGTGTGGGGGGGTTGGGGTGCAGGAGGGGGCTCAGGCCTGGGGCAGAGGGGTGGGATGTGTGAGGGGGTTGCGGGCTCTGGCTGGGGGTGCGGGCCCTGGGGTGGGACCAGGGATGTGGGTGTGGGCTCCGAGAGGGAGTTTGGGTATGGGAGGGAGCTCAGGGCTGGGGCAGGAGCTTGGGATGTGCGAGGGGGGGTGCAGGCTCCAGCTGGGGTGCAGGCTCTGAAGTGGAACCAGGGATGAGGGGTTTGGGGTGCAGGAGGGGGTTCAGGCCTGGAGCAAGGGGTTGGAGTCTGGGAGGGGTGCAGGCTCTGGCTGGCGCTTACCTTGGGGGGCTTCCTGGAAGTGGCAACATGTCCCTCCAGCTCCTAGGTGGAGGCGTGGCCAGGCGGCTCTGTATGGTGCGTGCTCACTGCCTCCACCCACAGGCGCAACCCCCGCAGCGGCCAATGGAAGCTGCAGATCTTGTGCTCGGGATGGGGGCAGCACATGGAGCCCCCCGGCCATCCCTCTGCCTAGGAGCCGAGGGACATGTCACCGCTTCTGGGGAGCTGCACGGAGCTGGGTAGGGAGCCTGCCAGCCCCGCCAATGAGACTTTTAATGGCCCGGTCTGCAGTGCTGACTGGAGCCACCAGGGTCCCTTTTTGACCAGGCGTTCTGATCGAAAACCAGACTCCTGGCAACCCTAGTCCCAGTTTTGGTTTTGGGAGGGCCTCCAGATCTTCCTGTAATATAGTTAATAACACTTGCACACCGATTTGTTGGAGTGTTTCTGCAACTTTTGTTTGCCTTGAATATTCTTGCACACACAAGAAGAGAAAACAGATTATTTTAATTATTTCCTCCACATCACCACTGTGTTAATGAACTGCATATTCACCACGGGTAGAAGTCAGCCGAGAGAACTACAGCTTAGCTTACGGGGGCTTCACTTCCCTATCTCAGTGAAAAACCTGGACCCATTTTATTGCCATAAAATGTATTAATTATGTTTAAATTAAACATGGCTCCAGGAACTGAATTCTTGTTTCCTCTATTTGTCTTACCCTCTGTTGGTTTAAAATACTGGAGCAGAACTGATCACCTATTGTGCTTCATGCACACACAAAAACACTGACAGCATGAAACAATTCCTATTCATGGAGTATCGCTGCACAATTAATCGCAGCAGCAGGTAGGCAATCTCAGGTTAGTGCCAAGGACGGCCCACAGTTATAATGTAAAACTTCAACTTACCAACTCTGTAGTCCCAGCAGGAAATGTCTAGAAAAGAGAATGAAAAAGTTCTTACACGCTAACAAAGGCTGCCTCAGGGTAGCAGAGTGAAATAGGAGCTAGGAGGCCTGATGAGAATCTGGGTCCTCTGGCCCACTAAGTGAAAGTTGCTACCTAAAATGGCAAGTGTGAAAAGGTAGAAGCATTTCAGGAAGAAATGGAAAACAGACAGTGATGGAGCAGGAATGTAAGATCCAGAGACTGCTGCTGTTGTGATTGGGATGAGAGGTTTCGTAGCTGTTGCCAAGAAGGAACGCCTCATCTGAATCATTTCCAGCATGAGAATGAGACAGACCAGCAGGCTGAGGTAGGAAGTTAAGTTTAAAACAAACACTATTGTAACATGGATTCCTCATCTAACAATATCCCGGAACCATGCCTATTTGGCAGGGACAGCTCGAGTACAACCCAGCATGAAAATACAGAGAATGGAAAAATGTCAGTGGCGCCAACAAGCTTTCTCTTACCAGCCTCTAACTGAATTGTATTAATAGCACTGTATGGACAAACAGCAAGGGAGGCTTAATCACAGGCTGTTGCAATAAAGAAAATTAGTTATGGCTCTTGAAATGAAAGACTGGGACTGATTCTCCTCTCAGTTACACTTCATTGTGAGTCAGGAGTAATACGATGGGTTAGTTTGCAGCAAGGGAGATTTAGGTTAGATATCAGGGAAAACCTTCCAACAATAGGGATAGTTAAGCCCTGGACCAGGTTACCTAGGAGGTTGTGGAATCCCTGACAGAACAGAATAAACAAACACCTGTCAGGGATGGGCTAGGTATACTTAATCCTGTCTCAGAGCAGGGAGGATAGACTAGAATCAGTGGTTCTCAAACTTTTGTACTGGTGACCCCTTTCACGTAGCAAGCCTCTGAGTGCGACCCCCCCTTTATAAATTAAAAACACTTTAAATATAATTAACACCATTATCTGTCTTTAGACACAACAAACCCTGCATTTTGGCAGGGGGTTAGACTTTCTGGTCCCTTCTAACCATGTGGTTCTATGGTTCTAAATGAGAGGAGAATCAGCCCCAGTCTTTCATTTCAAGAGCCATAACTAATTTTCTTT